AGTAGGTCTGGTTGTCTAGACCAAGAATTAGAATTTCTAACAGGTTCCCAGGTAATGCCTATTGCTGCTGATCCAAAGGACACATTTTAAGAAGATGTAGAGAGAAATAAGAAGATATTCAGAACCTAACCTTGAGGAACTCATTTTTGTTTAAAGGAACAGGAGGAGCTTTCAAAAAAGAATGAGAAAGTAGGAGGAAAAAACAGTATTTATTATATTTACCTGCTTAAGGCTGTGTATACTTTGGTGATAATATTTCCATGGAATGGTGGGACAAGGCCAAATTGCAGGAAGTACAGCATAAATGAAAGGAATGAAGAAAAGGAATATAAAATGTAGGTAACTTTCTTAGGAAGTTTTGCTATAAAATAAAGAAAACAGGATAGAAGATATTTAAATGTCAATGAAAAGAAGGCAGTAGAAAGAAAGAGGCTAGGGAGGGAGGTTTGAGGGTATGGAGGAGACATAGGAGTAATTCATAGCTCAAGGTTTCAGAGCATGGGAGATAGGCTCCAGGTACAGGTGGCATTACATGGAGAGCCACCCTCTTATTTAACAGGTGCGGAAGAGGAAAGAATTGGTACAGGTAAGTTTGTAGATGTGGTGGCAGGAAGTTGATTTAGTTCCTCCCTGACAGTTTCTGTTTTCTCTGTGAAGTAGATCTGCCTACTAAGAAAGAGAAGCATTTCAAGGCAAATGGAGAAGGTATGACTGGTCTTCGCAGAAAGTGAGAAAGTGAGTTGACCAGAGAGACAATAGGATTGCTAAGTTGTATTGCGTGCCTTGATGAGATTGGTGACTCTGAAGATACAGAGTGTTTGTATTCCTCTCAGCTGCACTTAGAGTTTGGGTGCAGACAGGGAGAAGGTAAATAAGAAGGGTGGCTATGAAATAGATGAAACTATAGGACTATGTGGCAGGGGTGCTTAAAGACCTTAGAAGAGAGTCTTTGAAAGCCTGGACCATGAAGAATAAAAAGAGATGGAGAAAAAAGATCATTGTTTATAAGTGTGAATTTCTGTTACTTATATGCATGTGCTGTAGGCAATACCTGGCATAAGCTAAGAATTCTCTCCCACCAACACCACTAATACCGCCTTCCTAGGTCATTGACATTTTTTAGAGTAGAGATTATTATTAGTTTTCTGACATTCTTCTTTTTTTAAAGCAACATCTAGATTTTAAGTTAAACCTACGTTTAAAGCATTAAATTTCTTGTATATATTTATATCTATCTACATACACCTAGGGCTTGGTTTTCTAGAATTCTAATCCACAGTAAGAATTATATGGATCTTTCATGGTCTGTTTTTGTCATGGATTTTAGAATATACAGGAAAGAATTATACAGAAGTAACATGATTTGGTATAACTCCAGGAAAATATTTTTGGAAATAGTAAGGAAGATAGATTGACAGATTTACATGACAGTTGCTGACCTCTGTAGAACTTGAGTAGAAGGAAAATAATTTCTTTCACTATTCAGTAGTACCCCTCTTGTCCATGGGGAATATGTTCCAGGACACCCAGTGGATACCTGAAACCACTGACAGTATCAAACACTACATATACTGTGTTTTTCCCTACACATACATACATCTTATAAAGTTTTATTAATAAATTAGGCACAGTGAAAGATTAACGACAGTAACTAATAGTAAACTAGAACAATTATAATAATATACTACAGTAAAAGATACATGAACGTGGTCTCTCTCTTTAGCTTCTTCAACTCTGCCAGAAATGTGACAGTGGCTTCTTCATTGGCAGACACAGCCTCTCCAGTAATTCTTCTATTTTTGGTTTAAAACTATTCCTGAATCTGTGCTTTCTGGCCCAACACATTGCCACCTATCGGAACACGTTTTCTGTTCATGTCCTCCACCTGCAGATTTAATGCCTTTTCCAGTTGAACTAAGCACTTATCATGCACTGTGGCTATAACTTTTGCAGGTGGAGGTGCGACAGCAAAACTAGCACAAATTTCTTTTTCCTTCTTCACAATTTCACAAATAGAAGATTCATTCTTACCATAGGTCTTAGAAACCTCAGCATATGAGCATCCAATTTTTTTCTTACTAAGTTGAGAACTTTCACCTTTTCGTTTAGAGGAAGCACTTTGCAGTTTTTCTGCCATATGTGAATTGCCTGCATCACTACTCTGGGTCTTTGGGGTCATTATTAAGCAAACTAAGGGTGACCTGAACACTAGCACTGTGATACCCTGACAGCCTGATATCCACGCTGGCTACTGACTAATGGTTGGGATTCACTGGACAAAGGGATGATTCATATCCTAAGCAGGACAGACTGGGCCAGCGACAGATTTCATCATGCTATACAAAGCAGCGTGCAACTTAACACGTATAATTGTTTACTTCTGAAATTTTCCGTTTAGTGTTTTCTGACTGTGGGTAATGAAAATGTCAGAAAGTGAAACCACAGGTAAAGGGGGACTACTTACTGTATGTGTGTTTGCCAGTAAGAAAGGACAAGTGATAGAAATTAGAGAAGGCGATAGAATAGGGGGAGGGAACGTAAGGGGGGAAACTAAAATATAAAGGGTAAAGCCCATAACCATGAGTGTTTTATTTTAGGCCCAACTCCTGTTTTCTGTTGGGTGAGGGAAAAAAGTTGGGATAAGCAGGTGCCAATAAGGACAAAGCAGAGGGAACAAGAAAGTGGAGGCTGCTATAAATTCAAAGTAGAGATGAATAGGAGTAAGGAAATTTTTTAAAAGAAAGAAAATTGACTTGGAAGCCTGCAGAGGCTCCTGGGTCAAAGCAGTAGAAGAGATAGAGTGATGTAAGACTGTAGTGTATAAGGATAATTGATTGTAGTCAAAGAGGAGAATAGTTATGGCAGGTTGCAAGTTTCAGTGACTGAGTATGAAGCTTCTTGGGATTGAAGATCTAAATAAACCTGGTGCAGGAAGTTGGAGAAGATCATCACTAACGATGTTAAAATTACCAAAGATGATGGCAGGAAGAAAGGAAGAAGATGAACTGGTGCAAATGTTCTGTACATGAGCAACAGTGAAAATGCAGGTGTGGATTTCAAGAAAAGATATTGATGAGTGGTGGTTATGGAATATTATTCCAAAAGCAGCAATGTGGAGTGAGGTCTCTGTAGACCTCTCTTTGCTCTTTCAGTAGGAACAAATCAAAGGAACACTACTTGAGAGAAGGTTGCAAAAGAGGTGGTGTCTGTGGGGCCAATGGGCAATAGAAAAGGTAAAGAGATAAAAGGAGTGCTTGAGGAAACAGTGGGGAATACACAGGAATGTGTTGGTAATGAGTAGGGGCTAGAAGATGATGGGCAGCTAGTAATGAAGTTAACGTGGGGAAGGGAAAGAGCTGAGCTGAATGGGAGTACTGGAGGGATTTTCAAGTGGAAGGTAATCTGTATCTTAAAGCAGCCACTATGCATATGTAATAGGGAAAGGGAAACTGGAATTTGCTAGATAGGCTACAGCATTGGCCTCCAGACTTCCCTCATCATTTATTCCATGAGTGAAAAAATTGAGCACACTTGCTTATGTGTGTATTTAGTTACCAATTGTATGCATGTACTACTATCATTCTGTACACTTTATTTTTTTTTTACTAAAAGATTAAAAATCAAAAGAAATTCTAATATTTTTTTCTCTGTATTCTACTGGGAAGACCACTGGCTAGAGGGACATGTTAATAATTTAGGGCATGGGTATAAAGTCTATTCATTATAAAAATAAATTGCAAGTTCATATAAAAAGAACTGGCTCCTAGTTGGTGCTGATGACATGATCTGTAGTCTTGTAATCTAGGTGCTGACTCTTGTTACCTAATCTATAATGTAAACCTTTTATCTATGATTATGGAAATATGTAACAATAAATACTTTGCTTTTTCTAATATATTAAAAGGATTCTTCTAAGTGTCAGTCTTTTCAGTACCTCATAATACAGATTGTTGTAAGTAAACTGCTATGCTGTTTAGCTTTAAAAAGTTAGGTGAGCAGAAAGACTGGGCTGTCTTCCCTTGTGCACTCAGGAGGCATGGCAGCCTTACTCCTTTTCATCATGGACCTTTTAATGAGGAGCTCTTTTCTCCTCAGAATGTAAATGGTGACCAGCCTCATGAGTAAATTTTTTAAAAATACATTTCTGTACCTATCATTATTTTTGATGATGTTTGTAATAATACAATCTTAAGAAGTGACAGAGGTTGCTTCTCAACTTTTATTAACTGTTTGAGGTAGGTTATTTTTCTTTTAGTATTGACCTTTGGACCCCTTCTCATGGGTGATTGAGTAGAGCACGAAATTTGACAGTAATTTTGTGGCTATCAGATAGATACCTAATACCTTCTTTAAAACTTTTTTAAAAGCCTAGTAGGGTATGTGTGTGTGTGTATGTTTCCTATAAAAATTGGAGAGGGATTAAGGAGGGAAGTAGATGGGGAAGGAACAAACAAAATCCATTTTCAAGCTGAGCTTTCTTATGCCAAGATTCAACCTATAGCAAGTTTCAATGGCTTTGTAAACCCCTGAAAATGAGAGATTAACGTGGAACTGGTGACAGATCCTTAACTCTAGCAGTGCAAGTGCGTTGCATTCTTATAATATTTACCTTGAGGATAGAAGATAATTTCAAACTCTAGAATGCTGATCAAAGGATTGAATACAAAGTATACATTTTTGTTTTAATAAAATAAAGTATTTTATTCCTTGCCTGAATAAGTGTTTGAAAAAGTGACACCAGAAGTAGAACCATATGACAGCATTGGTATTAGCTGAAAACAAAACTTTTTAATGTTTTAAAATTTCATAAGCCTTTGATGTGTATCTTCACTATTTTTTAAGCTCCATGGGACACATTGAATATCATAGACCCTGTGGGAGATATGTATATAGTATGGCACCACTTGTCAGAGACCTTTTTCAAAGTAGGTTAATGTGTGAGATCTAAATGTGATGCAGTAAGATTATTGTTAGTATGTTTTCTGAGGCATTCGAGATTGGGGATGAGAACTAAGGAGGAAAAAAAAAGGATAGTTGATGTAAAAGCTTCAGCAGTGACCTTTATAGCTCATTGCTTAATGCATTCTCTGACTGTTGCCCTCTGGTGACACCCTTCCCCCAACCTTTTTTTTTAAATATATATATATAATGGAAATAAAAGGTTTGAGAGAAGAACTTTTGATATATATATGTAGTAAACTTGACTTAAAACAGATTAAGTTCCTGTGTGCTGAATTGTAAGCGTACTATTTCAAAACAGTGTTAGGAAGGGGCTCTGTAGCAGGGAGGTGCTTATCTGGATTTAAAATTTTGCCATGGATATGGATACAAAGAAAACTGATAATGTTCTTGCTTCTGGAGAAAAGTAATAGATAATACCAGTCAGGGACAAGAGGGAAATTTACTTTTATCTGTAATAACCCTTAGAACATTTGGAATTTTCTATCATGTACAGACTATTACCTATTATAAACAAAGGAACAAAATAGATGAACTTTGACATAGATTATTGACCATTGTCTGTAAATTACTTTCCCCTCTTTTTTTTTTTTTTATTCAGGTGTCTGCTATGGCTGCTACTGTGAACTTGGAACTTGATCCCATTTTTTTGAAAGCACTAGGCTTCTTACATTCAAAGAGTAAGGATTCTGCTGAAAAGTTGAAAGCACTACTGGATGAATCTTTGGCTCGGGGCATTGATTCAAGTTACCGTCCTTCTCAAAAGGTACCTATCTGAATAAAAAGCTTGAAGGGAGTTTTGTAAAGCCTATAGTAAAACAGTGTTAACATTTCGATGATCTCAAAACAATCTCTTTGCCAAAATAATCATTTTCTTGTGGCATGAAGAAATTATATTTTATAGTGTTCTTTTCTTCCTTCAAGCTTTCAGAGAGCTGTTACACTATATAGAAAAGTTAGCTGGGAATGGGGGATATTCTGTTCTACTACTTTATGTGTATGGAAACCCACTTGTTAAAGATATATTTCAATTTCTAGTTCTTTATTATCAGATTTTTTTTAAGCAGCTGAATGAAACATAACTTGTAATTATTCCCTAATGTTTTAGGAGCAAAAAATATTGAAGTAAAAGGACAGAGATTTTGCAATGAAGTATATTAAATGTGGATAGGATAATTTAAGGAAAAAAGAAGGTATGGATAAACTATGAGAGCTATGTAGTTCCAGTTGTGATAATAACAAAGTGGCCAAGCAGCTTTATGTAAAAAGAATATACATTTTGGAACCAGACAAGTTGTTTGAAATCCCAGCTTACCTCTTACTAGTGTGGTGATCTGTAACATATCTTGAACATTTATAGTGTCCCAGGTACTTTTCTGAGTGGTGTATGTGTATAATTAATTGTGATCCTTTGAGATAGAAATTATTTATTTTCATTTTATAATAAGGAAACTGAGGTATAGTAACATTTTACCCAGCCTCTGTTTCTTTATTAGTAAAATGAGGCTAATAAGAACTACCTTACAAAGTTATGAAAATTTAAAGAGAAAATATGTCAGTCACCTAGTGCAGTATCTACCTGGTACATAATAGGCTCTTAGTGACTGGCAGCTCTTACTATATTCTCTAATACCTAGTAAGGCATTCTTTCAAACCTTTCTAAAGCTGTAGCCTTGAAACTCCAAGTCACCCATACCAAACTGAGAAGAAGACAGAATTCCATGACTAGCTCAGTCTAATCCAGAATCTCAAACTCAAAACAGGCCACATCCCAGACTTAGCATCCAAGAAAACTGAAATTTTGCTGCCAGCCTTCTTTTAACACTAACTCTAGTATTCATAAACCTTTTTCTATTGATTTTTGAATAATGGAGCCATTGTGACTTCATTTGTTTCACCATTCTCATTCTGGTAGGTTCAATGAGCTTAAGCCTACCAAACTAATAAATTTCAACAAAATACACCAACAAATTCATTCTGCACTGAATATTGATATTATCCAAATAGGAAATTCATATTATTACTGAAGAAGCAGTATTTTGAGATTCTAAAAACAGAAGGAAACTCATCTGTTTAAGTACATGAGAAGTTTGTTGCAATTAAAAAACCTCCCACCCTTAGATTTATAACTGATATTAACTTCTCTTGGTCAGTTTAGAGAAAATTCTCTGCTAGGTATTTTTAAAATGCAGGTTCATTTAATTTTAATTTTTAGCTGAACATTTTCATCTCTAGAACTGGTGAGAGTCACCTGGAGGCAGTGGTGTGCTTATAAACATTAATAACTGTCTGTCCAAATGTAATTCCAACATAAAAATTGGGAATAATTCCAATGAGCTACTATATGCAAAAGCTTTTTATACTATTAACAACAGATAGCAAATATATACATCAGCAAAGCAGTAATAATAACAAGGATTACAAGTTTAAAACAGAAAGAATAGACAAGCCACAGACTGAGAGAAAAGATTTGCAAATCATGTATCTGATAAAGAGCTTGTATCCAGAATCTATGAAGAACTCTTTATATTCAATAATAAAACAACCCTTTTTTTTTCAAATGGGCAAAAATTTTTAACAAACACTTTACCAAAGAAGATAAATGTATGGCAAATAAGCACTTGAAGAAATGTAACATCAGTAGCCATTAGGAAAATGTAAAATAAATCTACAGTGATATGCCACTACATACCTATTAAAATGTCTAAAATTAAAAAGATTGGCCATACTAAATGCTGATGAGGATGTGAGGATGTGAAGGAACTGGGTCTCATATACTCCTGATGAAAATATAAAATGGTATACCACTTTTGAACATGGTTTGGCAGTTTCTTATAAAGTTAAACATAAACCTATCATACGATCCAGGCATTCCACTCCTAGACATTTATTCTAGAGAAATGAAAGTATATGTCCATATAAAGTTTTGTACATGAACCTTTATAACAGTTTTATTTGTTACAACCCCAAACTGTAAACAACCCAAATGTCCATCAATAGGTAAACAAATAAACAGATCATGGTATGTTCAATGGAATGCTATTCAGCAACATAAGGGATGAACGTTTTATACATTCAACAACTTTGATGAATCTCAAAATTAACATGCTAAGTGAAAGAAGCCAGAAAAAAGAGTATATACTGCATGATTCCATTTATATAAATTTCTAGAAAATGCAAAGTGATCTATAGTTACAGAAGCAGTTCAGGGAGGCTTATTTTTTTGGGATGTCTCCTTCTAAGAGTGATAGCCAAAGGCCACAAGGAAACTTTGAGGAATGATGGATGTGTTCATTATGCTGATTGTAATGATGGCTTCTTATGTGTGAAACTATGTAGTGAAACTTACCAAATTTTACACTTTAAATAGGTGCAGTTCATATATCAGTTATTTCTCAATGAAGTTGCTTTAAAAAAGACAATACATTGATCACAACATGATGTCTTAATTTTTAATTGAAAATTGTTTAGATTTATGATCTATTTTTAATAATATATTAAATAGTCTGAATATTTAATTACGGATATTGTTTTAATTTCACCTGTAGGATGTGGAGCCACCCAAAATTTCAAGCACAAAAACTGTTTCCATTAAGCAAGAGCCCAAAACAACATCCAGTCTTCCTTCTGGCAATAATAATGGCAAGGTCCTCACAACTGAAAAGGTAAAGAAGGAAGGTGAAAAGAGACCTGCTGATAAAGTAAGATTTTATTTTACTCTAGTAAATTAGCCAATCAGTCCATTGTTTACAGGCAGAAACAATGTTCGGTGCTTACTTTTTGTATATAATAGTGGGTAAAATTACATAATAATCACTCAATAAATATATTTTCATAATTATAGATGTTGGTTTTTTGAAAAATAATTAAAATTTAGAAACATTTTTAAACCACTTACTGAAGTCATTGTTAACAAATATTTGAGCCCTAGAGGATGTATTCATTTCATGTATAAACTTTAATCTGTAACTCAAAGGTGTGACAGTTGTTGAAAGGAAAAGATGGTGAGGAAAGAATAAAGACACAAAATATCTTTGTAATATAAAGATATAAATGACTAAATGAAATTTGTTACTGATTGACATGTACGTTAATAGAGTTACAGATAACTCTTGATTTTGAATGATTTCTGCACATAGTTAATTATTAGGATTTTAACACTTCGTAAAAAATACATTTAAAAATAGTAACCTCTGCCTCAAGGTAGAGTGTTTTCATACTTTTTCTAAATATTGGCTATTTGTAAACTATATTGTATTGTTTTTGTGCTTTTAAATGTATATAAATGGTATCATACTGTACATATATATATCTTTTGGCAACTTTTTCTCTTCAACAGTGTGCTTTTGAATTTTATCTATCCTGATACATGAATATCTGAGCATTTCTTTCAGCTACCATGTAATATTCATTCTGTGAATAAATCAGTTTACCCATTCCCCTACTGCTAAGCAATCAGCTCAATTCTCCTTTTTCTCTATTACAGTGGAGTTTCAGTGAACTGCTTACATGTATCTCTTCGTGCACATGGTGATAGTTTCTGTAGAATATATTTCTGTGAGTGGATGTGATAGGGTAGGTACATCTTCAACTTTATTGGGCAGAAGTAGATGTACTGAATTTATATTCTGACCAATAGAGTATAAGAATTCCAAATTCTCCATGTCTTATCAGACTTTTTAATTTTTGGCAATCTGACAGATGTATCTATGACATTTATATCTTAAAGAGAGGAGCCAGAATTTGCTTTGAAGCAAGTATGGCAATGTGTTAAGCCTGGACAACTGGTAACATTTCATTATTTGCTTTTTTTCAATATATTTTAATTATCAGTAGTTTATAATTTTAAATATTTAAAATAAAAAAATAGCCTTAAGAATAGCATTATTAGTGCTGTGGCTTCTCAATTCAAAACACAATGAGTGAAAAAGGAGAGGAAGTGTAAGTAAATCCACTGAAGTTCCAGGAGTCTTTAATGGATGAAAGAGTACAAAGAGAAATATAGATGCATGCTAAACTGTTCTGATTTATGTATTTCTACCTTGTTGGTTTCTTTTAACATACTGATTATGAACTTATTATAAAACTTTGGCAGGTCTTTGGTTTGTAATCTGTCCCTAACAATGTGAAAATATCTGTCTAGTGGACTTGATCATTGCACACTGTCTATCTTATCCATCTCTCAGTGATTTAAAGTTTACTGTAACGTGTTAATTTCTGATTGGATGCTTTTTATAGATGAAATCAGATACCACTGAAGGAGCTGATATTCCAAAGAAACCTAAACTGGAGAAACCAGAGACACGCTCCTCCCCCATTACTGTCCAAACCAGCAAGGATTTAGCTATGGCTGACCTTTCCAGCTTTGAGGAGACCAGTGCTGATGATTTTGCCATGGAAATGGGATTGGCCTGTGTTGTTTGTAGGTAAGTTGTACTTTGCCACAAGATTCTTTTGTTTCTTTGTAAAGAACAAACAAGTTAAAAAAAAAAGTCAGGCCAACTGTTGAGTGTTTTTTATTTTGTTTGTATTATTTGGAGGTGGGTAGGAGATAAGTTGACTATTCCCTGTGAACTGCCCATATAGCATATGGCAGCTTAACATCTTGAACTTTGTCAAGATTTTATCTTCCTGACTGGCATTTAATCAGTTATGTTGTAGTAACATTTTCTGCATTCTTGGATTCTAGAGGGAAAGAAGTTATGGCTTTATTCTTTAGTGAGGAAGAGTCTGTTTAGCAGACTTAATTATTTCCATCTTTCTTTTTAAGAAGACTGTAGCTTTTTTTTCTTCCTGAAGTGTTGATAGTATTTGTAAAATAAATGGTTATGTATAATTTTCTAAAATACCATTAAATCTTTTCCTAAGGTTAATGGAAATGAAATGAATGGATATGTAGGTTATTCTGCATGTTGTTTTAAAACATGGATACATAATTATAAAAACAGAATTCTGCTTACTGAAAGATTCATTTTAAAAATCAGAATAATTAGATTTCACACTCTTTGATGTCAGGAGCTATATTTCTAATTGTTGATGACTTTCCTTGCCTAGCACAACAGAGAAGATTGAAACCTTTGTTGCTAATTTCTTCATGAAAATGTTAAATTCTGGTGCATT